ACAGATGTGGCATGACAGGACATTGGGGACGTACTTGTCGAACGGCCAAACATTTGGTAGACCTTTACCAGGCTTCTGTAAAAGGCAAAGAGAAAAATGCAGAAGCAAATTATGTTAATGAGGAAAATGCTCCTTGTCCCAGCCTTGATGTGTCTGATTATTTCATGGATAATGCTGAAATTGGAAATGATTTCATTCTTGGAGAAAACAACAATACTTAGGTTTCTCACCTACTAATGTAACATATGCTATGTTTTAATGTATTTTCTTAGTTCCCTGTATTTTAAATTTCTAGTCATGTACTTTAAATCTCTATCATCAATAAAATTTTATATGATATTATTCTAAACTAATCTCAAATTTATTTTATGAAGATATGGATCTACCTGAAGTTAGTTCCGAATATCAATGCCTTTTGGACAGTGGAACAACACATACTATCTTAAAAGATAGAAAATATTTTTCACAACTAAAGTTGTTTCAAGCAAATGTAAACACCATTTCCGGGTCAGCTAAATTAATTGAAGGATCTGGAAAGGCTTGTATAATGCTTCCAAATGGAACAAAATTAATAATCAATAATGCTTTATATTCGAGTAAATCTCGAAGAAATCTCATAAGCTTTAAAGATGTACGCCAAAATGGCTATCATCTAGAAACAATGACAACAGATCAAAAAGAGTATATATGCCTCACGGCAGAAAAACATGGCAAGAAACATATATATGAGAAATTGCCAGCATACTCTTCGGGGTTATATCGTATAAACATACGACCCGTGGAAATCAATATGGTATCTAACCAGAAGTTAGATGACAAACATTTGATTATTTTATGGCATGATCGTTTGGGACATCCAACAACTGGGATGATGCAAAGAATAATAGCACATTCAGTTGGACATTCAATAAGAAATGTCAAAATTCCCCGATCAGATGAATTAACATGCTCTGCATGTTCACTTGGCAAATTAATAATAAGGCCATCTATGAACAAAATTGCTACTGAATTCTCTAAAATTCTTGGAAAGAATTCAGGGAGACATATGTGGGCCAATTAATCCAGCATGTGGACCATTTCGATATTTCATGGTTTTAATTGATGCCTCTACACGATGGTCACATGTTAGTCTACTTTCAAGTAGAAATGTTGTCTTAGCAAAATTACTTGCCCAAATCATCAAATTAAGAGCACAATTCCCAGATCATACAATAAAGAAAATAAGACTTTACAATGCCGGGGAATTTACATCCCAAACATTTAATGATTATTGTATGTCAATTGGAATTGATGTTGAACACCCAGTAGCTCATGTTCATACACAAAATGGTCTAGCTGAATCACTAATTAAGAGATTACAATTGATTGCAAGACCATTATTAATGAGGTCAAGATTGCCATCATCTGCTTGGGGACATGCTATAATACATGCAGCAGCGCTAATTAGATTGAGACCTACAGCTTATCATAAATTCTCACCACTACAACTTGTTTGTGGTCGAGAACCAAGTATCTCACATCTAAAAATCTTTGGTTGTGCTGTATATGTTCCCATTGCTCCACCCCAACGAACAAAAATGGGTCCACAAAGAAGGTTGGGAATTTATGTCGGGTTTGAATCTCCCGCTATAATTAAATACCTTGAACCATTGACTGGTGACTTATTTACGGCTAGATTTGCGGACTGTCACTTTAATGAAACAATATTCCCAGCCTTAGGGGGAGAGAAAGTGGACCCACATAAGAAAGAAATTGAACTCATTTGGAATGCAACACAACTGTTGATGTTAGACCCACGAACAAATATGTGTGAACAAGAAGTTAAGAAAATTGTTCATTTACAAAGTGTTGCAAATCAATTGCCTGATGCATTTGTAGACACAAAGAAGGTGACAAAATCACATATACCAGTAGAAAATGCCCCTGCACGTATTGAAATCCCAACTGGTAATAAGGCCATATAAAATGAATCTCAAGCACGCAGAAAGCGTGGAAGACCACTTGATTCAAAAGATTCTAAGCCAAGAAAATTGAAAAGATTGGATGGAATAGAAAATGAGACTAATGATGTTCCCCCGTCAGAAGGTCAAGAAAAACCAAATGTGGATGAAAGTAGAGAAAATGATGATAATCCAAAAGGGGACGAACAAGAAGACAACCCTACGGGGAATGAACAAGATGTTCAAAACATCGATAACAATGAAATTTCAATGAATTACGTCTCTACAAAGACTCAGTGGAATAGGAAAGATGTTATCGTTAATGAAACATTTGCAAATTCCATCGCAATCGACATCGTGTCTGATGAAAATGATGTTGAACCAAGAACTGTAGAAGAATGTCGACGTAGGAGTGATTGGCCAAAGTGGAAGGAGGCAATGCTGGCTGAGTTAAAGTCACTTGAAAAACGAGAAGTTTTTGGGAAAATAACCCTTACACCAGCAGGTGTAAAACCCGTTGGATACAAATGGGTATTTGTAAGAAAACGTAATGAGAAAAATGAAATAGTTAGATACAAGGCAAGACTTGTAGCCCAAGGATTTTCTCAAATTCCAGGGATTGATTATGAAGAAACATATTCTCCAGTGGTTGATGCAACTACATTAAGATTTCTGGTAAGTTTGACAGTCACAAAAGGACTGCAAATGCGATTAATGGATGTAGTAACTGCGTATTTGTATGGGTCACTCGATACGGACATTTACATGAAAGTCCCCGAAGGACTAAAACTACCAGAAAACCACAAGCCTAGACAACTGCTTTCCATAAAACTAAAAAGGTCACTTTATGGATTGAAACAATCTGAAAGGATGTGGTACAACCGTCTGAGTGAATACCTTATGAGAGAAGGATTCAAAAACAACCAAGTTAGTCCCTGTGTTTTCATAAAGCGATCACAATCAGGATTCGCTATCATTGCAGTTTATGTTGATGATTTAAATATCATCGGAACCCCAAATGAACTCGAGAAAACTGCAAAATACTTGATGAAAGAATTTGAGATGAAAGACCTTGGGAAAACTAAATTTTGCCTTGGACTACAAATTGAGCACTTGAGTCATGGAATTTTTGTCCATCAATCAAACTATACAGAAAGAGTTTTGAAACGTTTCTTCATGGACAAAGCAACCCCAACCAACTTCCCAATGGTTGTTCGTTCTTTGAATATGAAAAATGATCCATTCAGACCCCGAGAAGAAAATGAAGAGATTCTGGGTCCAGAAGTACCATACTTAAGTGCAATTGGAGCCTTAATGTACTTAGCTAACAATACTAGACCCGACATAGCTTTCTCTGTGAATTTGTTAGCCAGGCACAACAATGCACCAACATATAGGCATTGGAAGGGAGTTCGACACTTACTCCGGTACCTACGAGGGACACAAGACCTTGGTTTATATTACCAACCAAAACAAGATGCTGCTCTCATTGGGTATGCAGACGCTGGATACTTATCAGATCCTCAAAATGCCAAGTCACAAAATGGATATGTATTCACTTATGGCGGCACTGCAATATCATGGAAATCAACAAAGCAGACATTGACCGCGACATCATCAAATCATGCAGAGTTGATAGCCCTCTATGAAGCAGGACGGGAATGTGTGTGGCTGAGGTCGATGATCAGTAATATCCAAAAGGAGTGTGGAATGAACGCAATAACAGAAGACCCAACCATCATCTTTGAAGACAATACGGCATGTATCGCTCAAGTAACTGAAGGGTATATTAAGGGAGATAAAACGAAACATATTGCCCCAAAACTGTTCTTCACACATGATCTACAAAAGGACGAGGAAATAAATATCCAGCAAATTCAGTCTTGTGAAAATCTTGCCGACCTTTTCACCAAATCACTTCCTTCGAAGAAATTTGAACAGTTAGTTCACAAAATCGGAATGCGACATCTTCGTGAACTATGCTGAGATCAGGGGGAGTATTATATGTACTGCACTCTTTTTCCCTTCGATCAGGTTTTTATCCCACCGGGTTTTTCCTGACAAGGTTTTTAACGAGACAGTATACCAAAGCATATAATACTATATCGTTGTACTCTTTTTCCCTAGTTATGGTTTTTATCCCAAAAGGGTTTTACCTAGCAAGGTTTTTAATAAGGCAACAAATATTTTTTTTTATGTATAAGTATGGGCATTCAAGGGGGAGTGTTAGAAGACAATGTGAATGCCAATCATTGATTTAATGTTGCAATGCACATATAAGTCCAACCCTTGTGAACTTATATGGCAATATATGAGCATGATTGAATTGTACTCTTAGTATAGAAGTATTAGCTATATATAGGGTGTCATATGAGGCAATAATAATAACATACTACAATTTCACTCATCCTCTTTACTTCTTCTCCTTCACTTTCTCCTTTCACTGATTAAAGACTTTCTATCGGTAAACATTTAACAACTCAAACCAGTTTTTTTGCTTTTTTTACCAAATTATCTTTTAAAAATATATGGAGTATTTGGTTTAGATTTTAAGAAGATCTAAGCTAGGTGGGCCTAGCAAGCATAGTCCATAAGCTATTTGGACCAGCTCACAATGAGGTACAAGCGTGCTGATTTAAGGAAGTTGTGGGCTTGATGGTTAAGTTGACTGACAAACTTGCTAGCAAAATTCATCCACATAATTTTAAACTATTAATGTTGGTGCAATTATAACTTTTTTTACTTTTTGTTTTTTTTTTTTTACGCAAGGGGTTGTTGGTGGCGTTCATGGAGGAAGAAGAAGCAAGTATGGTGTGCTACCATGCTTGTGTTCGGAGGAAGAAGATGAGATAATCTTTTTTTGTTATTCTTTTTATGGTTAATTTTAACATAATTTGTTAATATAGGATATTAACTAGATCTGGCTCAATAGTCAATACTCAATACTACGTATTTGCACGCAATATTATAACTAACTCTGCCGATGCACGAGACAACAAAACTCTCAATAAGTGTAAGAGGAATAACATGAACATAATATCTGCTTAGAATATTTGTCTGTGAGTGTTTGAACTATTTAACTTTTGCAATCTCTAAAAAAACAAGTTTAACCATTGATACATTTAATTGTGTATTAGTAAAACAAAATAATAAGTTGATACGTTAAAAGTACATGCTCTTACAAATCTAAGAACTCTGATTACTTGAGTTATGTAACATCTTAATTGACCATATATATATATATATGTACATATCTTATACAATTTCAGTTGTTGTGCTAGCACACAACCACTTGTAGCATAGATTTATAGTATCAGTCTTGAAAATTCAAGTGAACTTGCTCTTGCATGGTGTTCAAACAAGCATTATAAGCACCGCATTCCCTTAAATATTGCGTGCAATCGTGCAGATATTGTGGCCATCGATTATTACGCCGTCATTGCATCATGGATCAACACAGTAAAACTGCGTACATTTGAACCTTATTTTATTTTAATTTTTGGGATAAGAAAACATACACAAAGGTTAGAACAGTCTTGTCACAAGCAGAATCCTCGTGAAGTGGGTTGAACGGTCACTTTATCCGTTTGGTGTGGCAGCAAACATTATATACATTCCAATCAATGAAACCATAATGATAGGTTTTTCCTTCATACTTAATTGTAAACAAAGACCAGTAGTTAATAAATAATAACGACTAAGGTTAGTAAGTTACCAAACTATTTCTTACTTGTGAAAGTAGCGGTGGATCCATGGATATCGTCACATTGGTCACCAACATGAGCAAGCTCCGTTGTTGCTCCATGGTGGCTGTCGCGCCTACTGCTGAGACAAAGGCCAATGCACAAAATGAAAGCAGTAAATCAATTGTGCAAGCAACCAACAACATTAGTAAGATAATTACAAAAGTACAAAACATCAAGGGGAAACTCATTGATTGTTGCATTGTGACACTTGAATGCCTTACTTACATAATGAAACAAATCCGTTGTGCACGTTATTGATTGAAACAGGAGTATTACTTCAGCCAAAATGACTAATTAACACAACATCAACATTCAACACTACCTCAATCGATCACTCAATATCTTTATATTGGGTTTTCCCTAACTAGGGTAGGGATCGGAATCTATAACTAATCTTACACGCACTTGCAATAATAGAGAGGTTGTTTACAGTTGACTCTTGATACAAAATGCTATGACCATTAGTCATTTCACACTAAATAGCATATTCACTGATTAGCAACACTAAATTATTAATAAAATGAGGCAAGTAATTATATCTACAAACGTATCAAGTACTTAAAATATCAATTTTTAGCGTTTGTCATAAAAGAGTTTGTGTCACAGTAAACCATGTTGATATGCATGCAGTATAGGGTTTCATCAGGCTATAAAAAGTACAAGTACACAATCATAAGTGAGAAAAAAGCTACTTGTATTATAGAGAAGAACTACGTACTTTGGTGATTGTTATATTTTACTTCATACTGTTCAGGATTGATAGTGTAAAAGTTTGAAAACCACTCACCAACATAAGATTTGTACATTATCCTTGCTTTTATACTTTCATCATAATTGAATCACATATTGTTCTTGTATAATTCGCCTTGGCTAACTCAGCAACTAACGCATGAAAATGATGACTTTCTAGTTATTCTCTGTAGAAAGAATTGCCAAAGGGAAAGGAGAGAGTTTGGCTTGCTTAACAGTTAGGCAACTAATCGAGGGCAACATGTCAATGGTTCACTTAACCAAAGTCAAAATAGTACTCCATATCTCATTAAGGCTAGTGTGGACTTTTTCCTTCTTAGTTCCCTAACCAGTTGGGCTTGGGCATATATACTTATTTTTTGCAAATGGAAATTGAGGGGAAGTAGAAAAATGTTTTCTAGAAGCAAAACACTTATTGATGATTCTACTTAGCTTCCATATCAATGCCTATGAAACTAAAATTCAACATCCTTGCACCAGAAATTACACTTCCCCCCTATGTATAAGCTAACTCTTTCAAGATATAATCACATACATGTGCCTGTTACATTGACTGGGGGCCTTAAAGCTAACACAAAAGAATAGAAATGAATGGAACACATTGTGATACATAAAAGCAAAGTAAAGCTAAGAGTACGCTTTATATCTTTAATCTATTGCGTGCTAATGGTGGGCGTAAATACAGGCCAGATGGCTAATCAATCGCTAGCTAGCCCTAGTTTAGATCAGATGAAAATAACTCGCAACTACATCGAAGACATTTGTGCTACACGTACTTATCATGAGAATTATACATAGAAATTAAACTATCTATAATTTACCAAGAGTACAGTTCTATGCAAATCCATATACTTAGGAAGGATATGAAGTATATGGATTTGCATGAGGATGAAGCATTGGATCGTAAGGGATGGAGGAGGAAGATTTTTGCGGATGACAACACGGAATAATCAAATTTGGTTCATGTAGCCGACCCCACTAATGGGATTAAGGCTTTGATTGATTCTATGTTACCTTGTATCCAACTTTAAACGCGACAATGAGTCAATCCAAGATGTGATTAATGAAAGCTATATGCAGGATATATAATTTAATGAGGAGTTTAGAGAATAAAGAGGTAGTAAAACAATTGATCACAATCACTTAAACAATTGTCTTATACACTTGTTTACCAACAAAATTTCATAACTATCATCCTATGCAAACAGAAAACATGACCAAAGATGACAGATGGAAACAAAACTATTGTTGTAACAATGATCTCTGCAATAGAAAAATAGAACAGTCCCATAACAACAAACAGCAACAGCAGCAGCAGCAACAACAACAACAAGTCAACAACAACAACCCGTTATTAATCCTAATGTTCGAGCAGGGTCGTCTGGGAGGTTCACATAGCTTTGCCCTTGCCCATGATAGGCGCGGAAAATGATAGCTAAAGAGCAGTCATGATTTGAAATTAAAAAGGAAGAAATAAGTTACCTTGATACATATATGCTTATATGATTGACAAGACTGTAGCGCTAGGCAAACTTTCTAAGCTGATGCATAACAAAGATGTTTAACTTTCAACCTGACAAAAAATTACAGGTAAGATTTCTATCTTTGGAAAGTGAAATTATTATAACTAATTATGCAGTAAAAGGAGAAAAAATATGCAACTTTAAAACAGATCATGCACAAAACATATGATTATAATTATAACAAAAGGGTATCCATAAAAGCAGTCAGAGAACATTGATAGAGGAAGAAATCTGAAAGGCAATTAAGAAGGAAAGAAAACTAAAGCTGAATGGTGGAGAAAGTGATATTGGCGCGGCTCAATCTGAGATCGTATCTTACACTTCTAGTTCCTGTAAGATCCGTCTTCGGATTGAACCTCACCAATATCGCTTCCTCTCTTTGCCTCCTAAACCAATCAGTCAATTCAATTAAATGATCCGCAAAGTTCAGTTCAAATAATCATGGTGTTCAATTCAAACATTCTTGTAATAATGAGTCCAAACTACAAGCTGACTAAAAAGGTTGATCAACAAAAAAGTTAAGCCTTTTGAAAGGGAAATAAAAAGAAGAAAATTGGTCCCATACACCACTTAAAAAGAGGTGAAACTATCACTTATGGAAAAATAAACTTGATGGCATAATATGGAGCTTCATTCTGCAGTACATAAATTTGGTGGATTAGGAAAAAAGAGTAGGTATAAAGATCAAATCAACATAAAGGAACAGAAACATGCGTGCCAAATTAACAGAATATTCAACTATCATCATTGAAAGTTGATGAAATTAATCACGCGCTAGGAATTTATAACGGAAAGCTTATATGTTAGCTATATATTCCCATCCATACCAGAAAAATACAGAAAACAAATTACTTGATGTGTAGGTTACCAAATATGATCAATATTCGGCATGACATAAAATGCGATTAAACTTTAACACAAGATATATAAAATTTATGCATATATGAATATGAATAACTATCTAAAATATTAATAGGATGGTGAAAAACTATATATTTAGTTCATGTTAAACTACATACAATATAAGTAATATAACACATAACAACTAAGTGTTTAAATTAGACATTGCCCAAAAGAGGATATGTTATGGTATGTATGTAGCAGCCGAGGAGAAGTGAGAGCTGAGAAGTAAGATAAATGAGAGAAGGTATATAAGAGTGAGGCTGGGTTTTGCCTCGGGATGAGAAGGGAAGAAGAATGAAGAAGGTGAGTGGAATGATGTCAAGAGGGAGCGAAGCTTACTTTAGGGTTTGTCATGCTTGATTTGCACTCAAATAGAAATCAATTTTTTTTTTGCTAATTTTTTTTTGCGCATGCTTTCTGAAAATATTCTCTACATACCCAAAAAAAATAAATCACAAATGACCCCTCCATCTTTCATTATTTTAAACTGCTTTTATTTCATGCTTTGTTCTTGAGCAATCAAACAGACAAAAAAGGGGCTAATACAATAGTTATGTATGCTTATGTAGGGAACTACATCATTTGAATTTTTTAGTTCTTACTTAATTGGTCAATATCTATAGTTAAAGAACAGTTATGTACTGTATTGTTTATGTTATCAAATTATTAACATGCAAATCATATAATACTTAAAAAATTCCATAAAAGGTGTGTGTTAGAATATAGATAATTCATTCATCAGCAAAATATGGTTAATCCCTCTTGATTCTTCTTCTTAATTAGCTTCTTATTCTTGTGTCGCCGTGTTTTTATCCATCAAAGACGATGAGATGAATTGTTTAAGTACATTTTCTCGAACAATACATTTCTTTCTATATGCACATAATTTCATGCTTGTCGTTAGTTCAAGTCATCAAATCATGTCTAAGATGCAAATAAAACATGTATCAATATAACATATGTTAACACCATGAAATGCTTTGGAATGAACATAGAAATAGTAAGACACATTTAAATTTGCACATATTAAGATACACAACATATTTATTTCTATGTCCTGGATTCTTGATTAACAAAATATATTCTATAGTGACATCAAACCAAACATAATCTAGCTTAACACAAGGAATGTTGGGATATAATATACCACACCCATCTAATACTAAACCAATTCCAAGTTTCCAACCCTAATGAAAGCCACCCATCAATCGTATCATGTTCTATTGCTTTTACGTGTAGCACAACACAATATTGTATTCAATAATACCGACTTAAATAACAACATTTTCGTAAGTTGTCACATTAGTAGTTCAAATTCTTTATATTGCTGCAAAGGGAGTACTCGATTATGAATAAATAAAACAATACTGTTTACGTAGCATTCACAAGTACTAGTTCTCTATCCTATCATTGGTGATTTGGCATAGTGGAGTAGACAAGTTATAATATAAGCTGATATGATGTGTAAGGTATTATATATTCTATGTGGAGCAGCAATTAGTTTTCCATGTCTCCTTGTTCCACAACTTTATCATTTTTCCCTTTTTTCATCAAAGTTCCACACAAATCACCCCTATATTTCGAATTAATGGTTATAAGCTTGCCACTGTCAAACTTTGAGCATTAACTATGTAGGTAAAAATTACAGAGTATAAATATTGATACTCGAAAACACATACATCATGCGAAGTACATAAAAACATCGAACAATTCATATGATATGACTAAATAAAAGCCGTAGGTTAAAGTGGAGCTTGTGAATTGAATAAAGTTGAAGTTCAAAGTTTCAGATCACCATTATTTCGAAACAGTAGGAGTACTACATTTCCATTGCTACATTAAGATATAAACCCACTTATATTAGTTATATACACTATTGTTAATTCATGTAATAACATAGTCAAAGTATAAGCAAAACAGAAAAAACTTAAATTATTGAACACTGAACATGATTAAGGTTGCTTAAAAAAAAAAAATAAAACCAAGATTAATGTACCTTTAAGAAGAAGGTGAAGTGGGGTCAGGTGAAAATGGAGGAGAGAGAAAGAAAAGGGTAAATCTTGGGAACAGCAATCCAGAATGTCAGTGAAAGAGAAGGGTTGAAAGTAAGAAGTTTCGGAATTAAGGGGATTCTATAAAGTTATTTATTTATTTTTTTTTCTTCTCTCACGCATTTACACAAACAGTTTGCCGGCATTAGGAATAAAATGAGCTGAGATAAAAACCCTTCTTCCTACACTCACACACACCAAGTATTGCAATCGCGGAGACACCGGCGCTAAAGAGGGCCCTGCCTTGGTGCTGCAATGGGAGACACTCTTCTTGGGTATTGCTCTTTTGCCCCCCAATTCACTGTTTTTCTCTCTCCTCTATGCCCTCTAATTTGTTTGGGATCTCCAAGAAATAAGGAACTTCTTGTGAAAGGATGTGGAGAGTGGAGATTGACTTACTCATGAGTGAGGACAAAGTTGAGCATGGGCCGAGTCGGCACGAGGATTGGTCAAATACGATATAAAAGAGGTCCGACCTGACATAAACCTATTCTAAGCTCAGCATGACATAAAAGGCACATTGAGGGGGCCATGGACGTGCATGATCAAGTTCACGAGCTTGGCATGAGCACGACAAGTCAACTTGCTTATTTTGACTAATTTACAAAATATATTGTTATTTTGTTAAGGGAATTTGGCGTAAGTCTGGCAGGCACGATATACTATATGGGTCAGATTGTACATAGACTTCAGTTATAAAAAAAAATAATAATAAGAATTCGATACGACATTTTTCTTGGCCCATTATTCTAGTTAGGCCAACCCACTTAAGCATGACGCATGTGAGCCTACATGGCCCGATCCTTGCCCAACGACTCTCAACGACAAGGCTATTAATCAGGATCTCTTTAGCAAAATTAGTGAGTATGTAGTCAAACTACATTTTAGTTAAGGTTTGATATATCAACTTATTTGAACTTTTTTAGCATTAGTCTTAGTTCTACTTGCTAGTGGCTACTATGCTCGTATCATTAGAGTATGACAAGAATATATATGAGACTTGTGCGTTGTCATCCAATCTTTATATTCTAACTTAAGAATCAAACCCCTTTCACAGGGGTGGAAGGAGTGCCTCTAACCACAAGGCCGGCTAGCCAAGCCAACCTTGTTGTTGTTGTTAGTTGAATATGGAGTACATATATTTATGAAATTGAGTATATATACTACATGCTCGTTATAGGACTCGTGTTATACACACATGAGTTATCCCACATCAACGAAAATAAGAGATACCAACCATGTTATAAGCTTGAGGAATCACTCGTCTCATTTCTACTTTATAGGTAGTCCAAAATTATTGATACATCTATTTGAATCCAACATTTTGAATGTTGCTTAAGCTAGTACCCAAATTATGGTGTATGTTGCTTTTGCTACTTTAATTTAGTTCATGCCCATCCTTTTTACCACAAAAACGTTCATTCTCATGCAAGTATAAATGTTAATTAATATTGCCTAGCTACGTAGTTGAACTAACAGTCAATGAGGACAGTGACTACGTAGTTGAACTAACAGTAATATTACCTTACACACACGTATGATGCTCGTCTAATTAACTATTTTTTCCCATACATTACATGTTTATTTAACGCATACATAAGTATCATGCAATCAAAATAACATTGTACGACATTTATTATGAAACAAAGAGGTTTTTGAAGAGTTGTACCCAAAAAAAAAAAATTATGTAGGCAAAGCATGCTTTACTTTATACTTGATTTATACTCCATTAGTAAGTTCTAAAGCAGTCAATGCCACTTATATATGTAACTAAATTATGTTAGAAACTAATGATGAATCCTAATGGACTTTGACTCGATCTCTAGGTTTCCATAGTTATGAAGATGATCACAACTAAAGATGTACACTTATATTTTCCGCCAGCTAGGGTGATCTCGAGATTAAGATGATACCATGTTAAATACGGGTTTGGGCTGCACCCGCAAACTAATAGAGAGAGTCCACTTCACAAGTCCAAAAAAGGTTCCATCTCAAAACCATATGGCAATAGGAGGAGTAGCCCCTTAGCCTTATAAAGTGTTTAACTCTCTCTTCCTTTCTCAATGTGGGACACTTACATACATGTGTTGTTTGGTAGTGATATTTCAACATTTTCAAATTATTTACAACGATTAGACATGTTTTACTCACACTTGATGTCAAATTGTTGCAAATAATTTGAAACGGAAGCAATATTATTTATTGATCAAGGTGTTTGCGACATTAATGCTAAATATGGGCGACTTTTTCTTTAATTGAGGGTAGCTTAGTTAAGTTGTTATATGCTGGGGAGGTGATACGCATACAATTGTTGTATGTGGACCAAACATACAACACCACTTAAAAATTGACAGCTCATCATTAACTTAAAAAATGAGAGGGAAACATTTTTGGTTTTTGGCGCCATTTACCAGAAGAAGGCAGGACAAATTTCATTGGTGCCAAATAATTTTTCTTGCTACTAAAAAAATATTTTACGTTACTAGTCAGCGTCATTAATAAAGAGAAATGTTTATTATAAGAATCGAATAATACTTCATTTGATGATATTTTACTAACTACAAATCAAAAAATTATTCTAAAAAAACAGTAAAATTGTTCTTTAATGATCTTTTTATAGACATCCATATCGATATATTTTCGAAAATGTTATGAAATCGGACAATTTTAACCTTAGCTTGCTGTAGTTTGTTATTTTATTAATAAGTGTTACTAATTTATCATTATTGTTACTATAAAAATTTCAAACATATCAAAAAAAGTACAGATTATATTTTTGTTACATATAAAGTAACAGTATAAAATCAATTATCAAGTGTTGTACGGATTAATTTATACATTGGAGAGTTTAATTCATTCGTTAAAGGTTTAAATCAAATAATTAATAGTTAAAATGAAAACACGAAAGGTTACACACAAATTATTATCACTTATTGCTAAATACTATTGTGTGTTTATAACTTATCTCCTTAAACATAATCTTGCATTGTTTCCATTTTCTGTGGAAAATTACATATTAGAAAGTGCTATTTAATGAATTTTTATTTGATAATCACATAAGATGTATACATAGTTTCGGATACTATTTTTCTAAACCTTCTTTACCAGTTTATGTGGGAGATTAGAAAATTGATAATGACTCATAATACGAAGGTTAATTAGTTTCACATAGCATGATGTAATCAACAATAGTTGTATGTACTAACATTCAACATTGCTTTGCCATTTCAATTGTAAACATCAAAATTTGAAATATTATTGAAGCATTTGAGAGTTACAATCTAAGTGTAGTAAGATTTAATTTATAGATTTGAAGATTTAAATAAAATAACTAAGAGTTTAAATCGAATCACGATTGGTTACATATGTAGGGATTTAGGTACTCTAAGCGAAATTTCATGAATCATATTCATACGCACCTAAAACAAGATCGCATGCATAACACACAAGAATCACATAATTATACCTTTGAAACGTGATCTCCACGTAACAAATTGATTGAAAAATCAGGGAGAGAATAGAGCTCCAAGCGTGACTCCTCTACTTAGTCCTCGGGATTCGATCAAGCCGTCCACCAATGCTAGATTGGTCGAGTGAAGGGGAAAACCACAATCACCACCTTTATGGACAACCGGACACCACCACGATCACCACCACCAACGCACACCACCGGCGCAGAGGAGGAAGAGAGAGCCGTGAGAGAAAGAGGGAGTTTGAGAGGGTTAGTTGGTTTCGTGTTTGCTAACTTAGGTTTTAATTAACAATAAAAATGTTCTTACTGAAAATCTAGGCACCTAGTCTATTTATAATCCTATTATAACTAGACTAGGTTAGGAAGCCCAAAGCCCTCCAAACTCCACCTCATGGCCGACCACCTAGAGTGATGAGGCCCATCATGGGCCTCTTCCTCTTATGCTCAATGTAGGCCCTTTGTGTGACCTTATAGGATCCGTTCAATTAGGCTTTGGCCTATTTTACTAGCCCAAATATTGTTAGTACCTTTAGCTATGATATAATAACGACCCAAAAGAACGAACTTTATTATCTCCATAATTTAATCCATTATATATCTAGTAATTGCACTTGACGGAGACATAAATCCTTCAACATACACACAATATAATTATTGTCACTTATTGTTCAATATCCCATGTGTTTACGATTTATTTCTTTAATAATAAGTTAATTGTTACTTTTCTTTTAAAAAAAAAGTTGTTACTAAAAATTATTTAGAATTACATTCAATATATCAATTTATTACTAATAATTATACGTTTATTTTTTTATTTTTTTATTTTTTTTGGGTTTTCTTGTTACTGCGAAATAAAAGTGTATTTATAAAATATAACTTGCTCATCACAAGATTTAAGATACAATATTTGTTACTATCTTTACAAATATCAATTTGAGGGTAAGGACAAATAAAAGTTGAAAAAAAAAGGTAACTTATGTTCTTGCGAGGGATCGAACTCGGAGACAATGTTTCGTTGGTGCAAATTTATGTTTAGCGTTAGTAACCAAGATTGCGGGATAAACATCATGATTTTTTTTTTTTTATAATGAGTATTGTTACGTCAGTTTAAGATATTTGGTTACCAAACATAACTGCTTGTTACTAAATAATTTGCTTGTGTTACTAAATAAATTAGTAAGTTAAAGTGTTTGATTTTATTGGGATCTCCTGACATTTTCGTCAACCTTAGCTTATACCTTTTTTAGCCATTGGTGAGGTCCTTCAACACTCCATTACTTTTACTAATGAATATGACTTAGACTACTTTTGTGACTTTAATAATTATTGTTTTTCTACACAAATCCAAAATCAATAGAAAACAGGAAGAAGATGAAGTTGACCAATTTCAATAGTTTAATAGAAAAGGGGAAGAACACTAATTTCAATTGTTATAGACGAATAAAATGATGAAGATTAATTCAATTAAATCACAAATTATATTACACAGTATCTTCTACAAGTTATAATTACACAACGATTAATTATTTAATTGGAATATACTTCATCTGAATTGCAAAAAATCGTGAACCATTTTATCTTTCAACTTCACTTTCAAAAAGTCAATATTGAATTGAACCATTTCATCAAACGCGCTGCTGCTTAAACCTCCAAAACACAATGTTTGATTCAATTAGCACCCCACTATAATCCCATACACTAACTTGATAGAGAATACGGTTGATATGTGTTTGATTCAATTCGTTATGTGTTTAGCTGACTTAAGTTGCGTCGTATGGAAAATAATTTAGCAAACCCTTGATCCTTTTAAAAAATAAAACACCATATTGACTTTTATATTTTTGTCATATTCATTTATCAATTTAATTACCTAAAAGTAAAATTTGATAATATTTTTTTTGGTTATCTTCAAAATACACATTATGAGTTTGTACAGTGATTAATTAAATCCAAGCAAGCAAATTAAAGTTAATATATAAATAGTGCAAAATTTTAAAATTATGGCTTCATATAAATTAAGAAAATAATTGTGCCTTGATTAATTTTTACAGGACCTATTTAAATCTCTTCATACCGTTCGAGACAAGCCTGCCCGTTCGGCCGTTTTAATTGCTGAATTGCTAGCTTTTAATCCTTCATTCCCTGAATAAAGGTCTCATAACAAAACTGAATTTTGTTCCAATTAAAATAATTCTCATTTCCCCATCAGATAAATCGGCCAAATTTTACTACCATTCTTTTTCTTAATTCTTTCAACTTAATTACAAATGTGTTAAACAAATAAGACTCTTATTTAGGACGATGGGAGTATATGATGGAAGGACCAATTAAATAACAAAGCAAACATACCTTTTCTTTCGTGAAACTTTTCTTAAAATCGTGATGTGTGCTAACACCTTTTCAAGGGAATATTTTGAAAAGCTTTTTAAGCTTTTGTTTTCCAACTTTTCTTCCACTTTTCGTGTCTTATACTGCATGTACACTACGCATAAATATAATCAAGGGTGATTATATATACTTTACTATTTTTCAAAAACAACTCCATGTATCATTGCGTATTGTGAGCAACCAACTTGGATTTTTATCGTACATTTTGGGAACACGTTTTTTGGGTTTCTAGCTCTCAAATCAAGTGAGAAGGCAGCGAAAGCTAAGTTCGAGTCTAGGCGTCTAGCTATGCTAGATATACGTGTGTACACAAAGATTTAACGACGTGTTTTTTTTCTTTTTTTTTTTTTGGTTCGAGACTAACCTAGTTTGCTTACTTTAATAAAAGATAATAAAGAAAGAAGGGAAGAAGTCAAATGCTTAGATTTTACGAAAAAGTCAAATGGATGCATTATGGCCATTATCTCACAGCTTGGTTTAATTGTTTTGCATGCCTTTGAAAATACATGCATGAGAAAATGCTTGCATTATTTCACAAGAGATTGAAGCTATTTTGTATTCCTAGTTTCACTGCATAATGACGAGTATCTTGCAACGTAATCAAAACTATCTCTTTTGTCAATGTGCTCACAAAATAAAAATACTATAGGCAGATAATTAGATAAATAGCCTTTGTTTATACCATGCACAAGGTAAAACGAATTGTATGTATATAGTCATATATAGAAAATTGCTTCTAATGCGACAATTTTGCTTAACAAACATTAATTAATGGGTCAGTAGAGGTATTTTAAGGTAGAAAATGTAGCATAAAATAATAAAAGATGGTAACAAACTAACAATTAACATCACTTATCTAAGCATCAAAAGCCGCCTTTGGCATTATGATGCAATTAAATTTATATATATCACACGAAGTGTAAATGTATAATGGTAGGTCTAGTGACAAAACTATGACGATGACCTATTTTACTCAAACTTTTCATTCCACCTTAAGTATCATAATAAACATTAACATTTTAACATGTGTATGTGTATGTAAATAAGGAGAGTTGTTGCGCACGCATCGCAACAATTTACTCCAAAATAGTTGAAATTTTCATTAATTTCGACCTTTGGACACAAATTAAACAAAATCTAGGTAACATAGGTGACTTCTTAGAACTACTGCTGGAGTGCTGGTACCTATACCTTAAAACCCTTACTTTCCTTTGAGTTTGCAATAGGCATAGAAACAAGAACCGAGGAAGCCGGTGCCTTGACCGAGAATGTTGAACTGAGACCAAAACAAGAGCAAAAGAATTGAATCAGGAAGCCAAAATCAACGGTTATTACGTGAAGAGGACAGAAACAATAGACTTACCAAGTCAAATGGAAGGCCGCCAAATAAAAGCCAGCCAAGTCCAATTGTAAAAACATCCTATAACATCAGTTATATCATTGCAGTCAGAAACAAGAACCATTTTAATTCATAGCGACAATAATGCATTGATGTTTGTATTGTAATGACGTACCTTCAAGTTGCCACATATAGTCTGTGTGAGTGCTGAATTCAGGGCTGTATTCCAGAACACAGTGTAATTCAAGAAGAATGCCAAGATACAGGAAAGAAACATGACGGCCTGGAAAAAAATTACCATTAATCTGTATTCATTCTGCCAGATTAAAGACATAGGTGAAATGTTGTACAATCATTTTTTTCGGAGTTACGTAAGAATAAGCACCTGAAAGCCGGGGGATGATAAGTGAGGAAAGCTAATCAACTTCTGAAGATCACCTTGGAAGAATGTTGACAGCAACAAAATCGGTCCACATATGATTCCTACAAGATGTTTTCTAAAACTCTTGAAATTACGCGTTCTCTTAAACTAACTAGGGATATTAACTCAGTCTATTGAATACAAGATGCTATGTTAGGAGCACATAAAATTATTTGTCCTAATACATACCGTTGCACCACATGAGGCCAAATGTATTTAGGCCACTAGATTTTCCTGAGAAATCGATTAGATTGAATTAAATGTGAAGAAATATAATATGAAAGAACAGAGAAACAGAGAAGATTGTGGTATGAAAAAGCGAAATGTATGCTACCAAGACGAGCAATTGAGGTCAGATAGACTGCGGTACAAAGATTTGATAAGAGCACAACACCATAGCTGTAGAAGTCGAATGAGAGGTCTCGTGCTCCAGCTACAAATGCACCAAGTATGATGATAGCCACACTGATAAATCCCTTGGAAAATTTTATGAAAGATGATATTAGCAACTTAATAAACATCTCATTTGCTCAGCTCGATCTAATATCAATAACAAGTCTGGTTTTCAAACCTCGTACATAAATTGCGGGCAAGAAAATATGCAAGAAAATACACTATTAGTACAGAGCTTTGATTCTAAATACATTATGATGATGAAAAAATAAGTCTGAAAAGCGCTAAAGAGAGTCAGATTAGTTCAAATAAGGACTTTTCATGTGATAATATAAGAATGAGTACAAAGCTGCAAGAAACCGATTTATTTACCTGCCAAGAACACGAAGAGAATACTTTTGACGTGCCACTAGATACTCGACCACCATAGTAAAAGCCACAGTTGTACGCCTTAGAGTTGTGTACATAGGAACATTTACACCACGAACAGATTCCATCGAAACCAGCTTTATTTCATGGAGTATGCCAAGAGAATTCGACAACATTAATTACTTCTAGAATCTTAATTACATACATAGTGACTATATTAGACAGAAGATATACCATGAATAGCAAGTATGAGAACGCAAGAGGCAGGGTCTGAACTAGTGTCTTGAAGGGTACAATAATGATTGGATTGTCAAAAGTTTTGAGCGATTTATCATTTGTGAATGAAATGATCTTCCAGTGTCTCATTACGTAGAGAAAAAAGCACGAGCATATCAACTGTCAACCAAGGTTCAGAGAACGAATTAGTTACTGAACAATCAAGCAAGTAGCTTAGAAGATTAGCATCATTTAGCTAGTAGACAGCCAAACCATGCACAAGGATAAAGGCCAAACTAATAGCGAGAATAATGCCAAATATAAAAGCTAACATAACAATTTTGGAGCAAATTGGACAAATGTTCAGGGATAATGTAATACAAGTCTTACAAGATCAACAACTATATATGTATCCTTTACAAATGTTTAGTCACGGCGAATTACCTGAAGAAGGGTGATAACGTTTACATACGGGAGCTTGTAAGAAGACATAGCTGCTTTGTTAAACATGATCAACAATACTGCAAAGCAATTGCCATATATTTTAGCTAGTTAAAGTTACAAGTAGCTTGAAAGATCTTGTAAAATCAATAATTCTAGCAATAGAATAACTTATGATCATAAATACATGGTTAGCGCAAATTTCAAAGTAGATAGCTACCAAAGGTTATTATTGAAATATGTGTTGCTCGAATTCTTTATTTCACCTCAAATACTCTTGTGAAATATTAATTGATACTCCGGCATAGGTATATATGGATGTTTAGCACTTTAGTGAATTAAAATGAAGATCTAACAGCCATTTTTCCAATACTACCACATAATTAAGTACATGTCGTACATTGTACCATTTTTTTTCTATTTTTTTCTTCGATGGGGCCTAAAATGGGGGTCTTTTTATATTAGCTATCACACTCCCTCATATGAGAGTCTTTTGGGCTTGAAGTGTGGGGTGGATGACATTCGAACCAGTGTTTTTTGTGTTACGCTAGCTCTTGATACTATAATAAATAACCAACTCAACTAAAATCTTAACCTCTTAACCTGATGGTTGAAGCCTAGGGTCGATTTATATACTCTACAAAAAAAAAAACATTAGAAAACTATCTTCACATTCTTCACAAGAGAGTAAACACACCATAATGGCACTATGCGTTATACTTGCTATTATTTCAAGGTCAAAATTATATTGTTACTTTTAAAAAAAAAAAAAAATATATATGAATATGAATGTATTTATAGATTTGTTTTACTTAATTACCTTCATAATACTTCGTAACTATTTTACAATTGTTTTTTATTTTATTATTTATTTATAGGAAATGTGGGTGCCTTATACTGCACAGGCGTACGGCGTATATAATACAGTATGATTGAACAAAAAGGATGCCTTTAATTATAAAAAGAATAATTAATTATATGATAAATATAATAATTGTATAACTAACAATCATGTATCAAACTAATTGGGAGGGGACTGAAACCTAATCACTCAGAACTGAGCTAAGAATTCGGATTAAGTGAAGCGGGTGGAACAAAAAAAAAAAAAAAAAAAAAAAGTATTGAACCAATTAATTAATTAAACCGAGCCATGAAACTTCAAGGCCACAATCAAACTTCAATCCTCAATACTCTTAACAAAAAGGTGTTAACCTAATTGTTAAGATTGAAGGCCTACGTATAATAGTTTTAAATTCATAGGTTAAAATCCTCCCTCTTCTACCTGTAATTCTAATTTGTAATGTCATTTTGAATCATTCGTACCCAAAAAAAAAATAAAAAAAAAAATAAAACGATCAATAGCCTTAAACACATGAGCAAGTTCAAAAAAAAAAAAAAAAAAAAAAGAACAGAATATTCCCCAAGAAAAAAGTACATAATACACCAAAATTTATACATTAATATACCATAATTTAAACAAGAATCACAACTGAAAAAAAATGAAAGAACGTTAGGAAAATAAATAAATAAGAAGAGATGAAAATGGAGTAAAATTACCAGCACATAACATGTAAGAAATGGCAGCATAAATCCCTTTTCTTGACATAGCCATAGAATTAGAATTACCATCTTCTTCAACCTTTTCATTAACTTCATTAATAGGAAGAATTTTATTCTTTTTAGGTGATAAAACCATTTTATTTGTAATTTTTCTGCACTTTTTCGGGTGATTTTGTAGAAAAGAAGAATAAATAAAATCCCACAAAAATGTGAGTTAAATTAGTAGTAGTAGTAAACTATAGCTATAGTAGTAGTGTAGTAGGAGTACTATTTGAACTGCAAAAGGTGACAACTTTTACAGGTGGTGGGAAGGGAACGAAGTCTCAAAGAAGATGGGAAAAAAAGGTGGTGGGTCTTCTCTTTGGCTTTTCTATGAGTTTAATCGTTCTGAACCCATGTTAATTAAGTTGTCCCACTTTGAAGAAGAGGAGGAATTACGACGACTAATAATATATATGATCATATGATAGGTCAAGTATTACTTAATTCTATATGTATCTAGCTAGTGAGTTATTTCATGTATTATTATTGTTTATAATTCAAGGATTGAAGTTTAATCAATAATTCAATACAATGATGATAATATCTTAGAGAATATTAGAGTTAATTATCTTTCTATAAGAAGTATGTATAATTAAGTACGTTGGATGATTTGTGGCTTTCATGTTTTAAATAAATCATTCACCAAATTATGTTATAAATACACATAATTAAAATGATCATTTTCCTTTCAAGGTTGATGTTTTATTATTTTCCTAATAAAGGTTGATATTGTAATTGAGATAAGAGTATGTATTCTTTGTATCCTGCAAATTATGTTCAAATTATCTAGATAATTTATTATTTACTAGATAAAAAAATTGATGCTTTTAGAAATAAAAAATTAATTAGTGATGTCTTGCAATTTTAATATTTTAATGTTAGTATCTTATTGCTATTTTACAATTGGTTCTCCCAAAAGACATAATGGAGTATGCAAGCAACTGATCGAACAAAATCTTATCACATTTGGTACAAAATCATACCTTACTATAGTACCACTATTAATTATTGACTATATGATGTATTGTATTGTTGTATCAACATAGGCTAGGCTGTCCTTTGATATTGTTGAAGATCTATTTTCCTAACTTAGTGCTGCCAGATTGTGTTTCTTTTGGGTATGCTAGAATGCGCAAAATCGTCCAATAAATATTAAGTTTATGGAATCTTATATTCATATAGTTATGACATGTAATGTAAGATAGAGTTGGGATAAGAGTAAATGTTTTCGCCTACTGAGTTACCAATTATAATTGATGTTTGTCTACCTAGTATAAGTTTTGAATTTATACTGTAATTTTTTTTAGGAGCTTATTTAGAAATCAAACAGACCGGGAGTTAATTGGGCCGTGGGGCTAGGCCTCCACCTGCCCCCTTGTGCGGTTGTGCCTCCGTCCATGATTTAACAATGTTACAAAATCATTATCAGTTTATCACAAAATAGTTATTGAAATCATCAATAACTTAATACTAAAAGCGAAATAGTTGAAAATTTTCCCTCCACTTTATCTTTCCTTTTGTTTTTTGGTTTCTCAATCCTTCATGAAAAAATACTTATATTTATAGCCAAAAATATTCACCTTTCATTTTGACAATTATATTTGTTCCTCAAATGAAATATTTTTATACGTATATATTTTTCATTAAGTAATTTTGTTATAATAGTGAACATAAATAAGCAGTATATAAGGATACCATATAATTCTTTTTAATATGTAATTGTTAAATTAATGTTGTATTTTGCTGTATAATTTAGTGAAACCTATACATTGCACGGGACTTTAGCTAGTTATATATCCTAAAAAAAAAAAAATACTTCACGACTTTATGTACGTGTATCACTCCTCGTCTCCTCTTCTCTTCAATCTTACAACTACGTTATCAACATTCAAGTACTTAAAAAGAAGGAAGCTTGTACTAGCTCATATACATAGAAAACTTTAGAACAAGGACAATTTAATCTATTTTTATATAATAAGTTATGGAGTAATGAATATAATAAGGTAGGTTCTTAATGTGGTTAGGCACTTAGGCACAACATAATAAAGTTATTATTATGATTAGTTGATTAGTGTTATCTTTGCGAAGCAACGGTTGCAAAGCCTACAAAAACACACAAGGTGACAAAATTTAAAATAGATGTCCCGCAAATTGGCTAATCAAAATTAAATAAAGTCGATCAAAATGGGATGCAAGTGCTTCTTCTTTGCCCATTGTTTTTGAGTGATGGTGCACGAGGCCTTGAAATGGAAAGAGTAGTTGTATGTATGTGCTTGTATTAATTTTTACTCAAATTTGATAAACATTATCTTGAGATTATGTATTACTTCTCATTTATTATTATCTTCTCACTTTTAGGGTCTGTTCCGATTTACTGAAAACAACTTAACTGAACTAAACTGAACTGAACTGAACAGATTGGGATTGAACTGAACTAAATTGAATAGAGCTGAAATGAATTGTTGAAAGAAATTATAAACTGAACTGAACAAAAATTAAGCTGAACAAAACAAGCCCTTAGTTTGCCAATTATATAAATACGAGGAAGTATCCTTGTCCCACCACAATATTAATTTGCTTATATATAGTTATACACTTATCATGGCAAGTAATTCTCTCGATTCTTTATAATTTGTTGCTAAAAAAAAAGAATGAAATAAATAATGAAGTACTTCTCGATTTGAAATCACTTTTTGTGTCGATTGATAAAACTATAACAATTTAACAATTAATCTTTTGGATGATTGTTGGGACTGTTGGTTTTGTTTCCTCTTTAATAGATGGTTGTATCCTAGTTCGTATTGTGCTCTTAATGTGTTAGGTTTATTTCCTTTTGTTGGTTGTTTGTACTCTAGTTTGATGGACTTTACTTGAATCAAATTTTATGTGTACTCATATGATGTAAGTTGCATTTTGATTTGAATATTAATATAAGTCTTCCTTTTCTCTTTTTTTTTTATACGGTAAAATATGGGGGGTTTCCCATCCTATTACAAGAATGGGGGATGAGAATCGAACCCCCAATCACTTGAGGGGAGATGGAGAGACTAACCATCCCTCCATTTTCTATGTCCTCATATAAGTCCTTTTAGTTGTGTTAAAAAAAAGTGTTAATAAAAGGAAGGACAATAATGTAATGTAACTAGTATAAAGATATTTTTTTCATAAAAAGATATTTTAAATATTATATCATATTGTTGAATTATGAGAAGAAAACTTAATGTGCCACCTAATTAGGGATGGAAGGGGTATAAATAAATCCTTTAATCTATAACTTTAAATTGAGATGACAATTGTTTGAGTATATATATTTCTCCCCCAATTCCACATTAGTTCAAATGATTAATATGAATTTACGACATATAGTTTTAGATGATAAGTTGTGGTTAAGCTATTTATGGTGTTTTAACAATAAAACTAGTTTTTGATCCGGACGATGCCCCGCTTCATTGCTTATATTTTATTATATTGTAGTTATTTTTTAAAAATTCAATATTAATTGTTTAATTAGTCACTTTGATTAGACATTATAAGGAGTAACTAAAAAATATATGGTGGAAATATTCGATCCCATCAACGGTTACAAAATTTCAATATTGAATTGAAGTTGAAATTAAAAAAAGGAATTTAGGTAAGCTTATTAATTGAATAATAAATAATAAAACAATATATAGTACTGAGTAGTTAATACAGAGTTGCGAAAGAAGGAGCATTACAGCCAAATTAGAAAGTTACATCGCATAATTTAAATCATTCTATTAAGAACAATAAGTATTAAAAGGTATCGATAGTTTGATGGTAAATGTCGTTCTTATGTTTAGTGGTTCAAATTATATTTCAATCATAATTATGCATTGAATTTTGATATTTAGTGTAGAAGAATAAGTCTTGACGTGTCATTGCTCATGTGGCGCCAAATTTATTAAATGAAGGATGACACATGGCAATACCATGTTATTTCATTGAGTTTTAATAATATTATAGATAAGTCTGAAGGAATTTAGTGGGTTATATATTTTTACTTATTTACAGAGTATATGATTCTTTTAATGGATTAGTAGCTAGGCATGAAAAAACAAAAGGTAGTGGGTTAAAGACTATAATAAACATGTGATAATGACAATGAATTTGGAAAGTGTATATAATTTTAAGACGAATCAAGTAACTTTTATTTATAACTTGGATGTTGACAACTTCATTTGTTATCGAGGCAGATATTGTGACGGTTACCATTACCAATTGGATTATGGAAGTAATGATAAAAGTACGTACATTAAAACATAAAACTTTTAAATGAATCTTATGTGTGCGCTCTTGAATTTATATAACGGTTAACATTACAAAACAAATTAAAATGTAGCCACAAACACAATCACACAAGTAACAACAAAACATCTCCAGCGTTCAATGTGTTATAATAAAGTTATTCTATGCGAGTGTGTGATAGCTTAAGTGGTTAGAGCTCCCCTCCTGATTTCAGGAGATCCTGAAATCGATTCTCATCAATCGACCTTATGATTCTTTAAACACCAAAAATAAAAAATAAAACTATTCTACGCACTAATACGTTAGACATATCACATAAGTACATATGTATGGGTACTTAATAGATGAACAAAAATTGATTAAAGGCACAATTTAAAATTGCCAATCGGGTAGAGTTTGAATTAAGGGAATTATCAAAATTAATCCAACGAGTAGAACACATGAAATCTATAAACTAGTAATCCAAACGCGGCATATGATCCCTTGTTCATTAAGGTTTCCTATTTCTTCCCAACGAAGAAATAATTAAAAAATATATAAAAATTACACTACAAACAACAAATAGAGGAGAGAGAAAATTCGCAAAAGATCAAATCAAAGATAATAACAGAAAATAAATTCGCAACAACAAAAAAAAAAAAAAAAAAAAATCTCTTTTTCTCTTTCGATTTTTTCAGAAATCTGTCGACAATGATTGAAACCGATTTGCATGATTTATCCGATGATGCTGATTACGCCGCATCTCAGCAACAAGTAACAATTTGATTTCTGAATTCTTTCGTTTTTTGATTTATTTTTTAATGATTTGATCATATTTTTTCGCATTATTGATGCTGTAAATTTCTAGGTTAAACTGCAATTGATTATCTGAATTGATTGATTACGATTATATATTGTAATTTGTGTTGATAAATTGGTATAACTTTTTATTAGTGATGATTGTAGTTCAATTGATTTTGATTATCATGTTTTTCGTGTGTTTTGTGCTTGAATTGTTGTAATTAGGGTTCGCAAAGCATAATGAGGAGTGATAGTGGAAGGAGAAGCGAACCGGAAGGTGCCGAAATTGTTTATATGAAGGATAATGTTTCGATTCATCCTACTCAGTATATGTCTGAGAGAATTAGTGGTAGATTGAAGCTGGTTAAACAAGGAGATTCATTGTTTATGGTAATGTTGTTGTTGTATTTATTGAATGTTTGGTATGAATGTAGTATTGTATGATATTTGATTGTGTGAATTTGTTGTAGACCTGGATTCCGTACAAAGGACAAAACACTAATGCAAGGCTATCCGAGAGAGGTGAGCGCGAATTGTTTTTAGCTTGTGTATGATATTGATGCAATCTGCATTTGTACTGGCATGCCTTTTGTGACTAACTCTTTATATGGTAGCTAGTTGGATCGTGGTTCATGACTGTTTTATGAAGTTGTTAGATGCTTGTTAGCTGAGGAGTATGTTATTTCCCTTGTTCATGATGTGGAACGAAGTATTATTTAATATGTGGAGTGACACTTCTGTGATAAAATTAGAATGTGAACGGATTTAATTACTGCATTGCATACCAAGTGCTGACATATGGTAGCATACTAGCATTAATAAGAGCTTGAGTTCAGTGTATGGAGCTGTATAAGCTTATGCTCTTGCAGCCCCCAAAAAAGTTAGGAATTAATCAACTTAAGCTCATTTTGTGCAAAACTTAAAGTATAAGAATTTTGGACAATCTTTAGATAAAAATACAAAAACCTAAATTGTGGAGAGAAGCCTGCCTTATGTTTATGTTTGATGGTGTAAAGAATTGATCAACTTTCGTTAAAAAATGTACTTCTCTGTTTTTTAATGCTTGCAGGTTGCAACACTTTCCTAAAAGGGAAATGTCACAATGCTTGCAACAAACTATATTTGAAAATATAATTGAAAAGTGTTTTTTTTTTTTTGGTGAAAGTTGTATTATTACCCTTATTTAAGCTCACGGCCAGCTTAATTATACCCCAAACAATGTCTCAGCCCCATTTTTCATGAATACCGTGAAAAAAAAAATGTGTGTTGCAAGTTTTATAAAACGGAGAAAGTAGTAATTATAGATAAAGAATTGATCACCAACTTCTATGATGCATGATGTATTGCTGAAGATGTTAGTTCTCCAGTATTTGTTGTTCGATGGACTTAATTAACTTTAAATTCTAATGCAGATAGGAATCTCTATACAATAAGGCCACTTCCGTTTACTGATGTGAGGTCCATCAGGAGGCACACCCCACCACTTGGCTGGCAATACATTATCGTTGTGCTGTCTTCTGGTAAGAATTGGATTTATGGAAATTAAATCGTTTACTAGAGATAGTGATCTGTGTATGGAAAAATCGTTAAATGACATGTCAACTAGTTTTATCGAGATTTCTTCATTAATTTTTCTACTACAATAATTTATTCACTTTTCTTCTTTCATGTCAACGAGAGTATATTAGATATTTGGTTGCCTCTGCTGTTCTGCAATGCTGAAACAAAATGTGTTTTTTTTACAGGACTAGCTTTCCCTCCTCTTTATTTCTATAACGGAGGAGTTAAGGAGTTTTTGACCACCATCAAGCAACACGTTTCTCTTGTAAGGTTGGTGTTCCTTCCTTTTTCAAGTCTAACAGGTCCCACTTGTTTGAGTCACAATTGCTATTTGTCACTTGTCCAGTGCTGTCTGAAATCTAAATGCAAAATAGTTCGATAACAGTGGCCAAGATATTGGAAATCATATTGTTAACATTCTTAGTGAAAAGTAGAGTTGGAAAAATGCTGCATATTTATTAAATCCGGCAACTATAAGGGAACAAAAAGCTCCTGCTGCCTCTTTAGTGACGTTGATGTTGTAAATTTGTAATTATCAGAGTATGAGACTGAACTTTTTCCATCTTAAGCTCTATCACTTCTCAGCTTCTATTAGAGCTTGCTTTCTTCCCTGCCACAATTAGTGTTTTAGATGAAGTTGGAAAGAATATGCTTTGACATCTTTCAAAAATGAACTACAATGGATATCTTTGAGTTTTTCTTTTAATTAGACTGACAATGGCTTGATCACTTGTCTCTTAACCTGTCCTTTCTTCATTCTTATTTAATAGTAGTTGGTCAGTCAATCTTCTCTGGAGCCTTGGATCTACAGAAATAATTCAGAGTAAACAAGGCTTACCTAAAAGTGAACGGAAAAGGAATCTGGTTACTAACATGCTAAGATTTACATATTTTGAATCTAGTCGATGTGAAGTATTTTGTTGTTCAAGGCAACGATGTTTTTTTCTTAAAAATAAATTAATCACGGATCATTATAGACATGATACCTTCTCCTTTTCATCGTGGTAGAGAAAAGAGTCTCTTTGACATCTGCATCCTTTAATCATAGTTATGCTACATAATGCCTTTGCAACAGTATTGCCCCCTATCCCCCTTCACAAGAGCCTCAATAGAAGGCATATACAATAGCATGATGCAAGATGTTGGCTTTATGTTAAGGACCTTGTATGAACATGTTGACGTGTGGAGTTTTCATACATATTTAGTGATGGGGGACTTAGTATACTTGAGGAAAGTTGAATAAAGCAGTTTAGCATAGTGTTGCTTTTGGCACTTTGCAAATAGAGTTTGTGTCTTATTCTAATGTGCTTCTTCAATGGTGATAAAGTTCCCTTTCCTCTCCAACAAGTGGTGGAAAAGTTGGGAGGTATGACCTCTGCGAGGGCTCTGGTTGTTTAGAGTGGCTCCTCTTTTGAGAAGGACCAGAATATTGACGATTAATATGGGTCTGTGGCTCTGTGCATTATTGGCAGTGGACTCTATTTAACATTTTTAAGTATTTGTTTCCAGATCAGCTGATGATGCAAATGTGTTCATTGTGAATGATTTTCAAGATCCCCTACAGGTATCTACATATTACCCTGCCTTAAATAAATTTAGTTCACTGCTGTGTAGCTTCTGTTGTTCCCAAACCTCCATGGCACTTTTTAAACCTATTCTCTTTAGACATAATTTGGAAACAATAGAAAGGGTTTATAGTAATATAATTATTTTGTCAAAATGCTGTTTGTGACTGCAGGTATAGGGTTAATGTTGGCAAGATGCTTGGACTATTGTAGCTGAATAATGCATATGATAATATCCATCTTAAGAGTATTCTTTATACACTTATTTATACTTGATCTATTAACATGAAAATTGATTGTAAGAAGAGTCATAGCCTTCATAGAACGTTGTACTCTGCAAATTATTTCTATGCACCCACACAAAAAGAAGTATTTGCTTATATTAAAATAACAAAAACTTTCTAATTAAAAGTACACATCTCATTTTCATCATGTATGAATATATGGTCATACATTGCATATTAAAAGATCATACAATTAAAGACTATACTGCTGGGAGCATGATGTACACCATGCTCTCTGGTGCACAGAATAATGATTTGTACCCTACCATTAATTACATTTTCATCATCTTTGAGTTTGTGAGTAAATAAAAGTGGATCTTGATTTTCTTCTGCTGATCATTCTGTAAAATTAGGGTACTAGCTGTACTTATACTAGCTCGATGTTATTTTCTGTTGTCACTATTCTTGACTATGGTCATAAAATGTCTTTTACTCTTTGATTTTCCAAGATTTTGCTACTTGATCCTTTGCAAATTGTATAGAAATTATCTGATTGAGCCTAACTATGTACTTAATGAACCGTATGGTAGTTATTGTTCTCACTTTGCTGCATGATCTGTTGTTTTACTTTTACTCATTAGTAGTTGCTTTTTAAACATTTTCCATCATCTGGTTAATGTATTCATCATCTTTTGTAGAAAACTCTATCTTCATTGGAGCTTCCAGGAGTTGTTTCAGTTGCTGCACCATCTACAAATGCTTCTGCTGCTGTAGCCCCAACTCAGGGAAACCAAGGAAGGACTGATGTGAGTGCCTTTGATAGCAATAGTAGTTTGCAATCGCTTAGAAGGCAAAGGAATAAGTCCAATGATCCCACTAAGGATCTCTCAATTCAGGTCTTGGAAAAATTCTCTCTGGTCACCAAATTTGCTCGGGAAACAACCTCACAGCTGTTCGGTGAAAGTAGCGGTGATCAGCTCTTTTCCAACGATTTGAAAAAGCATAGCCATAGCCAGTCCCTACCTGATCTTCATTCCCAATCATCAAATGATCTGGAAGAAGTTCCCTGTGAAGCTCCTGTACCCGCAGATCCTATGGAGGTATTTTTCTTCCCCTTCTCTGTTAGTACTTTTCTCATTTTCTGGAGGCATGGCTATCAAAATTATTACTCCCGTCATCAGTTTGTAAACTCCATGCTTTTTAGATCCTGATTTTAGTGTTTGTCATTTATGCAAAATAGTACTTCGTATATAATATACTACCTTGATTCCATTTAGAATTAGTTGTGACTTTGTTAGTGCAAATTACATTATGTTTACAATGATAATATCTGGACCAAGGAGTAAAATGCTACTGGATTATTCTGTAACCTTGTAATTTTTGCTGCCTTTTCTCATGAAGTTTTCTATACTCCATCATCTCTATAAGGTTGTTGCATATGAGATGCCTTTTCTTCTACATAAAAGTTAGATTAATGATGCTTAAAGTTAGATAAATTATATTATCAACTATTCATCATTTGGTAAGAGCTTGTTCTTTACAAATTATAATATCAGTCAAGCAACTAGTAGGTCATGGCACTTTACTGTTAAATTCTGTTTTGGCTAATTATACAATAAGTAGCACTCATCCTTTAATGCATCAATGTCCCTTTGGAATCAGAATAGTGTTCAGTAGCTTCCCATAATTTGGTCAAAGTTTGCTAAGTTAAAAGATAATACAGAGCAAGCTGTTTGTAGCTTGCCTCTTAACTTAATTTTCTACCTGTAGAAAGCTAGTGATGATCTTCAAAGTTTGGATTTCTGTTAAGCTCAAATATCTGTTTATTTAGATCACTATAAAAGCCTATTCTGTGCAAGCTGCTCTGTCAACTCTAGCTCTTTTAAATCTTTCTTTGAAATGCAAGTATTATTATTATTCTTATTATTATTTATCTTTGTCGCTTGTGAATACGACTCGCTATTATGATTAAAATAATCACAGGCAGTGTTTGCATGACACTTGAGTGTTCAATAGATACATACTTCCTCCGTTCTAATAATATTGCAACAAGGATGAAAATATCTATAATATTATAAGAGTAAAAATATCTAAAAAGTTGATATTGTGAAAGTATTTTATGAGACAAATCTAACAAGATCCCACGTGACTATATTTTGCTTAACGTATAAATCATATTATATGGTCAAACAAGAGTGATGAATAGTGCAAAAAGTCCTTTGTTCCAATATTATTGGAACGGAGGAAGTATTAGGTACCCCATGCAGTATTGTAACAGGTGATAAAATTAGGAGGACTTTTGAAGTGTTCACGGATGGTTAATTTATTGTGCTGGATACTTGTTGTGAAGCTGGTGTCATATAAGTGGATGGAGAATTGATTATATATTTTTGCACCACATTAAAGAATAGGTGACGAATATTTGACTTGATTGTGGATGCTTTTTATTCTTGATTTATACATTCAAATATATCTGTATCATTTGAATAAAAACTTGGGGAGTATCTGTTGTGTTGTTTGAGATCCTATTAGTGTCAAGCTTCTGTTCAAGAACTTTTAGAGTAAATAGTTATATAAGAACTTTAAAGATGCTTAAAAGCCCGTGGCTTAATTCTTTATAAGAAATGACCCAATAATTTTTCTATCCTAATCTATTCAATTTTCTTATGTTTCTTTACTAGTTTAATTTTATATATACTTTGCTTACTGTGTTTTTTTTTTTTTTTTTTTTTTGGGACAGCTTGAAAAAACAGCTCTTGTCTGGGGAAAACCACGACAGCCCCCCATGACAAAGGAAGAGGTATTTACTTGAGATTACTTTGGCAGTATTTCTATGAACCATCTGATTCATCTTCATTAAAGTGATGTATTTAAGCAAATTTACAAATGTTATATCATGTATTTGCTACTTTCATCACTTTCTTTCTAGATTTTCAGGATTGTATATAAGTCTATCTTTGACAGGTTAGGAGCCCAAGATTTTGTTGGCATCCAGTTCCACTTGTTTGATGCCCATATAGCTGTGTAGATAGTTAAAATACATTGAACTAGGTTCCGTTATTTGTGGGGAAAAGGAAGGGGGGGTGTTGGGAGGGCAGCTTTTGTTATTATTCTGATTTTTAGACAATTTGTGATGGTTAAACCAAATCCTATCTTATTGCAAAAAAGGTGAACACTAGCTTAAATTCATGTCATTCAGTATCCTGTAGTTGTGCTTTCAAAGTCAGATTTTGAGCTAGGACAATCCTTACATCAATGGTTTGTAAATGTCTGGCACTTTAATTGATATATTTTACTATCTAGGGGCAATGTTCATTTCGACTTCTCAAAACTCCGTTTTTACTGAAAGTTATAATTGTACTTTGTACTCTACTTTACATTTTTAGTTTTGTTATGTAGTGGATAACTTTCTTGGATTCTGAGGGAAGAGTTGTTGATTCAATAGAATTGAGGAAGAGAATTTTTTATGGCGGTGTTGTCCATGAACTGCGAAAAGAGGTTTGTTATTTTAACTCTGTCTGGATGGATTTCTGCCATTACTTTCTTTAGGCTGTCAAACTCTAATATGGATACAGGTGTGGCCATTTTTATTGGGATGCTATGATTATAATTCAACATATGCTGAACGTGAATATCTTCGATCCGTGAGAAAACAAGACTACGAAATTATAAAGCTCCAATGGCAGGTTGGTTTTCATTTATTGATTCTCTTTCTATTAATTTACAGGGTGCATGTTAATGCTGAGTGGATGACACATATTGTGAATTACGAAATTATAAAGCTCCAATGGCAGGTTGGTTTTTTATGTACATAGTTTGGGGCCTGCAAGAAAAGTTGTTGACACTGATTGCCAGTTATATGTAAATTCTTGTCTTATTATCTGTCAGTACTGTTTTCTGCTTCCTTCACCATCTTCTGTTTATGTTGGCTTGGGCGTGTGAGATGATTTCTAGAAGATTCATAGTTAAAAACAGTTGGGAATTTAGAAGCTGAGGGAGGCCAAAGATGACTTGGATGGAGGTAGTCAAGAATGATTTGTAGAAATTGGGTTTTGCGGGTTCATGTAGAACTTTATAGAAGTGGATGGAGGAAAAGTATCTTTGTCGATGACCACTGGAGATAATGCAGCAGATCCCACCCTTTTGGGAATAATGATTTGATGTTGTTATTGTTATTGTTGTCATTGTATCCTTAGTTTACTCTTGTGTAATTTATTTTACTAATTCATACTTGTGTGATGCATTGATTTGATTTTAAGGACCTTTTGCTTGGGTTAGAAGCTTTTAACTTTCGTGTCGGTTAGTGCTTCTGTACATAAATTTAGCAAGTTAGCAGATATTTAATGGTGCTGAAGGTACCTTAAATTCAGTGACTCTGGCTTTATTTTATGGGTGATATGGTCTGCTTGGTAGGATGATCTGATAAATCGTATTTAATGTAGTACCTCGCTGTTGTGTGGAGGCGTCAAATTGTTCTGCTGTCTTTTCTCCTTGAATCCTCCCACTGCCTTTCTTAGTTTGAGTTTTGTTTTTATAAAATTATTGGCAGTAATTAGCACAGAGCTTTTTTTTGTTTATTATAACGAACAATCTTGAATAACTATGCATGAACCTATGAAGTCTCTCTCTGAAAGAGTTATACATAGAAGAGAAACAGAATGCTCCTTGTCCAATTTTGCTCTATCTTGGCACTATTTTGGATGTTCATTTGAATCCTGTCTTCTCCTTTGTAGTAAAAATGTAACTTTTGATATTTTCATGAAATTTTTTCCTACTCATAGTTACCGAGTCATTTAATGTGGGTATAGATACTAGATATAGGGGTTGTGAATACCAGAGGATGGAGTGGTTTATGATATGCGATTTATTCATTAGTGAATTTGCAAGCTGGAAAAAAACTTGATTAGATATATAATTGCTGCTTGGATTTGTTTAATAACATGATTGGTGTGGGGATCTATGTATATACTGCTGATTTCATTGAAGGATCACTATTTCTGTTCATGTTTTTTTTAGACATATCATCTGTGGAACAAATTTGTTTATTCTAGCTTGGCACTGATATCTGATTTTCTCTTTATTTTGCAGAGCATATCTCCAGAACAGGCAAAAAGGTTTACAAAATTTAGGGAGAGAAAGGGCCTGATTGAGAAAGACGTGGTATGACCTGTTTATAACCATCGATTGAGAATTTGAGAAATAGAAAATTTGGGTTGGGGAGGAGGGGGGGGGGATTTATTTCATTCAAGAAATTGTAAGCAGTAATCAAGTGACATTATTTTTGATTAAAACTACTTTGGTGCTTTGCTAGGTGCGGACAGACAGATCATTCTCTTTCTATGATGGAGATGATAATCCAAATGTGAATCTTCTACATGATATACTGCTAACATTTTCGTTCTACAATTTTGACCTTGGTTATTGTCAGGTAATACTAATAGTCACATTCATTATCACGCTGTCTTGGTTCTTGATTGGATTTTTCTCTTACAAACTCTTCTGTGATAGGGTATGAGTGATTATCTTTCCCCTTTATTGTTCGTCATGGAGGATGAGTTTGAAGTATTTTGGTGTTTCGCTGCACTAATGGAACGCGTGGGACCAAATTTCAATCGTGATCAAAGTGGCATGCATGCACAACTTTTTGCATTGTCTAAGGTATTTTGCTTTCTTTTACATGTCCCATCTTCTCCTTTGTTCTTTTGTGTATACATTTTGCACGGAAGACATCTGCTACCTGTATTGGGGGTGGGGGGGGGGGGGGGGAGGTAGGCGTCGTGGTGGTTCTGTACTGTCAGCCAATCAACAAATGGAGCTGGCATAGCTTGCTAATATGAAAGAGAGAAGCTGGTAATTGCCTGTTGACCGAAGTGCAATGAATTTCCATTTATTTATTTTTTTAATTTTATGAACTGTAATTATCTTTGGTCTGAATTGTACACAAGTTGGTTGCATAAATGCTGGCATTATAGTCCTCTATATCTGGAACCAACATTAGGATCTCATGGAACTTGAAGATTTCCTGCCCTTTTACCTTGACTGTCTAAATTGATATTGAATTGGGTATTTGGGCATCCTCTACCTGATAAAAGTGTACAGCAACTCGTCAATATTTCCTACAATGGAATTTTTAAAACTTCTGAATTTGCTTTGTTGAATTAAGGATAGTTATGGTTGAGAGTTTGCATGACTTGTCTTGATTTCCTAGCTTCTGGACTTGTCATTGTAATATTGTTGCTGGTTAATTTTGTAATCGTCAGATGTTTCTTTTTCAGTTTGAAAATCAGTTCTTTGTCACCCATTTGATGCTAGTTCTATCAAAAGGAAGCATTTCTTGTTATTTATAAATCTGTGTGTGTCGCTTTCATGCTCTATGGCATGAATTTGAATGTTCCCCTCTTGTAGTCTTTGCCTGTGAAATTTTTTTATTTCTATAATGTCTCAACCGTATTGTTTCATTTTGGTATCAGGGCTCTAAGCCTCTGATATTGTCATTGTGCTGTGTTTTTAATTTGTGTTTTCGCATTGTTTCTTTTTCAATTCTGAATTGATGATCACCTTGCAGAATCTAATGATGTATTCTTTTTTTTTTTTTTTTTTTTTTTGTGCAGCTGGTGGAACTATCTGACAGTCCGCTGCACAACTACTTTAAGCAGCAGGACTGCTTAAATTATTTCTTTTGTTTCCGCTGGATTCTTATACAATTCAAAAGGCAAGACATATAATTTCTGAAATGCTTTTATCTGGCTACAAAATCCTCGTGGCATTTTCTTAGTGTCGTTAAAGATCTGTGTAGATTTAGCTCTTAGCCATACCCTTGACTATCATTTGAAAAATAAAATATGGACCTTAGAGGTTTTGAATCTTCAAAGTGCAAACTATTGTATGTGATGGTAGAGAGGTAGGACTGAGAATCAGAGACCAAATTAACTCACCAAATTATTATCCTCATCTTCTTTCAGGCTTACTCTAATAGTTCCTTTAGTCTAAATTTTGACTGCTTTATATAACATACATGCAAAGTACGGTATTCTTTATTGTTTCCTTAGAAGGGTTTTTGTGTTTTCAGGGAAATGTGTTATGAGGAAACAATGCGATTGTGGGAGGTCTTGTGGACACATTATCCATCTGAGCACCTACACCTGTATATTTGCGTTGCAATCCTCAAGAGGTATAGGAACAAGATAATTGGGGAGCAAATGGATTTCGACACACTATTGAAGTTCATAAACGGGCTAAGTGGCCAAATTGACCTTGATTCCATTGTAAGAGATGCCGAGGCGCTGTGCATCTGTGCAGGAGAAACCGGAGAAGCATGCATTCCTCCAGGAACTCCCCCTTCTTTGCCAGTTGAAAATGGTCTTGTGTCCTCTCAGCTTGAGGACGAGGTTTTGTAGTTCTCTCTCTTTTTCTTGTACATAGCTATGTGCTACACGAGACAAAATTTTATACTCATGAAACTCTTGATGAATTTGGACCTCTAACTAGGGAATAAAAATCCTCGTTTATTGTAAAGAAACTAATTCTCTTATATCAGATCTTGCTTGTATAGGTTTTTTTTTTTTACCTAAGTTGAAAGGGAAGGAATTTTAAATTATACTTAGCCTCTTATTGCAAGTGTATGTTGACAACTGAACATGGCTTCTCATGGTGGTATGCTGCATTTTTATAAAGTTAACTATAGTAGAACGAACATTCGGGAACCAGGGATCGGAGGAATGGCTCCTTGTTAATTTCTACCTCTCTTAAGGTAAATCTTATTTTGTAGTTAGGAATCGATATTAAGAGTTGAGTAATATATTTTAACTATCAACCGCGATAAAAGATCACATTATCAGTCTGGAAAAATGGCACACGGTACTCCCCGGCTTCACACCAAGAACCTTGAAGGCAATATATTCAGGACTCCACCCCTGTTGTTTGGTGATGACTATAGCATATGCATCAAGCCTAGCTCCATCCTTTGAACCAGCAAGAGAGACTGAGAAGGTGGTTGCAACCCTCGGCTGGTGGCAGTCGTGCAAAACCAACCTGCAAGGATGAATGTTACTAGAGCTTATTAGATTAACCAAATCTATTGTAATTAAGTAGATAGGTGAATATTAATTTGAACAATTGGGTTACTAATTATGGAGATCTTACAGAAATAATTGTAATTAGTAACGTGATCGCGAAACTATACTTGAATAAGTGGTCCATAATGATTAATACTAAGCAAATTTTAAAGAAATATACTTGTATTAAAGGGGAAATAACTAATCTGATTTATAAGCAATGGCATTTATTCACAAAAAAAAAATAAAAAAAAAAATAAAAAAAAAAATTAATGGCATAAGAGATTTCAGAGTGTTGTTAGAGGAACAAACCAATTCAACCAAAAGCTTAAGCTGATAGTTGAGGCCCAGTATTATATTTTTAAAAAAAAGTGTAATTTTAGCAATCATGCAGTGAGTTAGGATTTTGAGAGTGTAACTTTCAGTAGAAAAAATAAGCCTATTTTTGGGAGACATAGCGTTTGTGTGAATGATAATTAAATTAACCTACGTTTTAAGATTCTCATATAATATGAAATATTTAGCTAATTAATTATGAAATAATATCTAGAATTATGTGATGATCCTTACTATTAATTGGAAAACTTCAAGTAATTGATATGAACTATAAATGACATAACAAGATAAGGAGTATATATGAACAATGGCTTCAAGCCTTCAACTATTTATTATTGTTTTTTATGGTCAAAAGTTTACCATATTTATATTATTTGAAAGCTCATAGCTCATACTTGAAAAATTGGTTGTTATTAAAGATTGCAATGCCTACCTACTTTCTTTTAACTGACACAATATATTAATAATTTGGGAAATGGATTTAATTTTAAAAATGATTTAATGACATAGTTGTAGTATAGGGATTTCTAACTACATCGACATGCTGGTGAAAATATTTAGACTTATTGAAAGACTCAAGTCCCAAATTTTAGGATAGAATAAAACCATTTGAAACGTCTTTTTTTTTTAGAGAGTTTGGACACTCATATAGTCATGTACAACTATACAAGTATGACGTATTATAACCTAATTACAAAAACATCCTTAGATATACTCTCTCAATTTTAAACTCTTTTTGGGGTGTTCATCCACATCTTTGCTAAATTAGACAATTATTTGATTCAAATTGCTATGAATGTTGGTATTGATTTTGTAAAATGAGTCTGACTTATATTTTTATTTTTTAAAAAAAATATATATTTAAAAATAACCTCTTTTACATTTTGACAAAGCCAAAACTACAAAGGTGTTGGATAAGGGGACATGAAAGAGAATGAGAAGGGAACAAGAAGGGATAATGACAACGGCTTAACGAGCTTAGGTGGGCTTCATGTTTACACTTGAGAAGGCAAGCTAAGTCCAAATAATATGGGCTTAGCCCAATCTTTGCCTGACAATTATGCTTCCCATGGCCTGGACAATTTTAGATATGGGACCATTAATGAGTGGTCCGCATGCTTTTACGGGCCAAATTTTAATGCTAGGCCCACACTTATGATCTTCATATTGTTGACACGGGAAATGTCCCGATTAATTATCCACACCGTTTTTTATAAATTGTCTTATTTGGCTTTTTACGATCTTCAATACATGTCTATCAGTGTAATTAAATATGGTTTCAACTATCTAATTTGTCTTCAGGGGTTTCGTAAGGTCCATAAAAAGCACCTTGACCTAAAATTGAAAATTCTCAAATATCAAAAATCAGGATCCACATTTTTGGGACAAATTTTAAGATTTTTTTTTCCTAAAAAATGAATTGAACTCATAGGATGACTCTTAAGATTATAAAATTTTGGTTTTGAACCATAACTAACCTAGTAACCTATCAATAAGTCAATAAAGTCCTAAGAATAAGTTTAGTTCGATCACGTTGTACTACACTACTACATATTTCGAAATTCCTTTGTTTTACATCCAAAATGAGCACGAAATCATACACAAAGGAAAAACGATTATTTCCAGACTGGAAAATTGAATGAAGAAAGGTAGGAGAAGGTAGCGCCCAAAAAGGAGGGGCACTCTAATTCAATTGAAAAGATTGATTAAATGAAAAAACTACTCCGTAAATGCATGGGACAAATCTTAGGCATAGAAGTTAGAGGAATCAGTATTATGTCAGTTTCAAGCGTGTGCTTGTTTGTCTTCAAGGAGAAACTACTCCTAAAATCAATTACACTGCTCATTTTTTCAAATTTACTCAACTGTTAAATGTTTACCGATAGAAAGTCTTTAATCAGTGAAAGGAGAAAGTGAAGGAGAAGAAGTAAAGAGGATGAGTGAAATTGTAGTCTGTTATTATTATTGCCTCATATGACACCCTATATATATAGCTAATACTTCTATACTAAGAGTACAATTCAATCATGCTCATATATTGCCATATAAGTTCACAAAGGTTGGACTTATATGTGCATTGCAACATCAAATCAATGATTGGCATTCACATTGTCTTCTAACACTCCCCCTTGAATGCCCATACTTATACATAAAAAAAATAAAATTTGTTGCCTTATTAAAAACCTTGCTAGGTAAAACCCTTTTGGGATAAAAACCATAACTAGGGAAAAAGAGTACAACGATATAGTATTATATGCTTTGGTATACTGCCTCGTTAAAAACCTTGTCAGGAAAAACCCGGTGGGATAAAAACCTGATCGAAGGGAAAAAGAGTGCAGTACATATAATACTCCCCCTGATCTCAGCATAGTTCACGAAGATGTCACATTCCGATTTTGTGAACTAACTGTTCAAATTTCTTCGAAGGAAGTGATTTGGTGAAAAGGTCGGCAAGATTTTCACAAGACTGAATTTGCTGGATATTTATTTCCTCGTCCTTTTGCAGATCATGTGTGAAGAACAGTTTTGGGGCAATATGTTTCGTTTTATCTCCCTTAATATATCCTTCAGTTACTTGAGCGATACATGTTGTATTGTCTTCAAAGATGATGGTTGGGTCTTCTGTTATTGCGTTCATTCCACACTCCTTTTGGATATTACTGATCATCGACCTCAGCCACACACATTCCCGTCCTGCTTCATAGAGGGCTATCAACACTGCATGATTTGATGATGTCGCGGTCAATGTCTGCTTTGTTGATTTCCATGATATTGCAGTGCCGCCATAAGTGAATACATATCCATTTTGTGACTTGGCATTTTGAGGATCTGATAAGTATCCAGCGTCTGCATACCCAATGAGAGCAGCATCTTGTTTTGGTTGGTAATATAAACCAAGGTCTTGTGTCCCTCGTAGGTACCGGAGTAAGTGTCGAACTCCCTTCCAATGCCTATATGTTGGTGCATTGTTGTGCCTGGCTAACAAATTCACATAGAAAGCTATGTCGGGTCTAGTATTGTTAGCTAAGTACATTAAGGCTCCAATTGCACTTAAGTATGGTACTTCTGGACCCATAATCTCTTCATTTTCTTCTCGGGGTCTGAATGGATCATTTTTCATATTCAAAGAACGAACAACCATTGGGAAGTTGGTTGGGGTTGCTTTGTCCATGAAGAAACGTTTCAAAACTCTTTCTGTATAGTTTGATTGATGGACAAAAATGCCATGACTCAAGTGCTCAATTTGTAGTCCAAGGCAAAATTTAGTTTTCCCAAGGTCTTTCATCTCAAATTCTTTCATCAAGTATTTTGCAGTTTTCTCGAGTTCATTTGGGGTTCCGATGATATTTAAATCATCAACATAAACTGCAATGATAGCGAATCCTGATTGTGATCGCTTTATGAAAACACAGGGACTAAATTGGTTGTTTTTGAATCCTTCTCTCATAAGGTATTCACTCAGACGGTTGTACCACATCCTTCCAGATTGTTTCAATCCATAAAGTGACCTTTTTAGTTTTATGGAAAGCAGTTGTCTAGGCTTGTGGTTTTCTGGTAGTTTTAGTCCTTCGGGGACTTTCATGTAAATGTCCGTATCGAGTGACCCATACAAATACGCAGTCACTACATCCATTAATCGCATTTGCAGTCCTTTTGTGACTGTCAAACTTACCAGAAATCTTAATGTAGTTGCATCAACCACTGGAGAATATGTTTCTTCATAATCAATCCCTGGAATTTGAGAAAATCCTTGGGCTACAAGTCTTGCCTTGTATCTAACTATTTCATTTTTCTCGTTACGTTTTCTTACAAATACCCATTTTTATCCAACGGGTTTTACACCTGCTGGTGTAAGGGTTATTTTCCCAAAAACTTCTCGTTTTTCAAGTGACTTTAACTCAGCCAGCATTGCCTCCTTCCACTTTAGCCAATCACTCCTACGTCGACATTCTTCTACAGTTCTTGGTTCAACATCATTTTCATCGGACACGATGTCGATTGCGATGGAATTTGCAAATGTTTCATTAACGATAACATCTTTCCTATTCCACTGAGTCTTTGTAGAGACGTAATTTATTGAAATTTCATTGTTATCGATGTTTTGAACATCTTGTTCATTCCCCGTAGGGTTGTCTTCTTGTTCGTCCCCTTTTGGATTATCATCATTTTCTTTACTTTCATCCACATTTGGTCTTTCTTGACCTTCTGACGG